ATATATTTTAATACGAGCATGTTACCGTAGTTTAAGGGTTATAAAGATATGTTACCATTGTGTCAGTCGTTCCTTTTGTATTTAATATGATCGCTTTCTGAAAAATCCCACTAATGCTAATGTCCGATTAAGGCAACGATGTCACCTAACCTATACCTTGTATTCATTACCCGGACGCGTTGACTTTCTCACAGAGTTAGAACTGAGAGAACTTGATACCCATTTGGAGCCTTTTATAGCATTAGCTTTAGATATATAATTTACTGTGAAACGCAAATATTCGTTACTTCTCCCAGGAAAACCAGCGTAAGCTGTGTATGTCTCTGTGCCATTGATCGCACCAGCATACCATCCTATCAACAATGGTATTTTTAGAGCTTGTGTCAGGAGAAACACACGTTCGAACTTCCGTGTTTATACCAACATAACATGCTTTGCCTTGTTTCTCTTCACGCTAGGTTAGACTATTGAATCAACTTTTCACCTTCGCATGGGATTATCTGTGTGCCCATTTTGATGCCACCGCAAAAAGGTGATATGTATCTATCTTTAGGCGTTGAGCAAGTCTTCTTACTTATCTTATTTAGATTATTTGGCATCTTCAACTTCCTAGTTCCTAGGTTCTTACGGAGCAAACCGTCAAGGTAGCAACATGACCACAAGAGGTTTGTAGTAGATAGATATTATTTTGGAAGCCAATTAAACACTGTATTTGCAGACAACCATGTCGTTCATCAAAGGCAGGTTGAAAAAAAAGCTAAGCCTCTCTCGAAGTGTTGAGGAGAGAAAAAAATTATTTGCAAAAACTAATCGACCCTAGTTTCCCGAACCCACGGATACAGAAATGTCCTTGCCAAACTACTCTTAAGAACTAGACTCACAATATACACAGGGAAAAAAATATTGGCCAGATCCGCGTTCGATATAGAGTGATTAGAATAGAATCAGAAAAAAATTATCAGAAAAAAAATCTGACGCGGTCTCTGCGGGAAATAAAATTGGTTTTAGTTGCATCGGTACTGGGTGTTTCTTGTAATCTCTATGGCTTAATGATGAATCTCCAATGAAATATGGAGTGCACATGTGGACGGTGAGAAAATAAATATATACGCAAGGTCAAAAAGTAATCTTGAATACGTTATCTAAGGAAAATCTAAAAACCGGTTCCTTTGCCTCGCTTGCTGGCCTATGACGATCCGCATTTCCTCAGCGCCTGCTGATCTGTGAGAGGTTTCGCAATATTAAAAAATCGTCGGATGAACGCCCTGATATCGCCTTAAAAATTAGGCAGCAATTTTAATCTCATGTCAAAATCATTTTCTTTGCGGACGGTGGCCTACGTCCACTTCAAATATTAGACTCGTATTTCCTGGTAACAATTAGAATTAGCATACTGTCTTAGAGGTATCACTGAACTAATTACTTCTTTTGACACGGTTTTCCACGTACCATTTTTTAGCGGGGAAGCAGTAACAATCAGATTGAGAATATCTATAGTTTGGATTGTGACGACGCTTTTCAAGGGAATTCAAGGAACATGCAGCCCGCCCTATATACAGCCCCTTCCTTTATACCTAATATTTACATATACGAATATCCGATGCCTTGACGCAAAAAGGTTTTCCTGATTACCTAAAAGATATATTTTTTTTTACTTATTTTCTCACACAAAAACTTATGCATTCTAGTTTGAAGATAACTGATAATTGTAGGGTCGTTTACCGCGAAGCTTTGAGCTATGGAGTGAATTTAAAAAGGAAACACAACTGAGTAGATCGTTTTAAAAATAATGGATATATTTTAATATTATTAAGTGCCATTGTCTATATAAGCAACACAGTTAAAAAACATACCCAAATAAAAAATTGTTATTCTTATCATGTTCGAAACGTTTAGGCACAACTTTATTGAAAGTCTCTATAGCGTTGTTGATTTGTTCAGTTATCTCTTGATGCCTATATTGAAGCAAAACCCATAAGAGGAACAGAAGTGCTGACGTTACCAAGAAGATAACAAACAATAGAAGATTATTCTTTCCCTCTGAGAATATTACTTCGGCAAAGGAGCTTTGGAAGTAACGACGAAGTACTGCCATCGAACTCACTATTAGCCAGTGCTGTTATCACTTTCTAGCAGAATCATCGTGTTTTAGTTTTAAAATTCGCAATTGTTCTAATGCAGTTAAGATAAGATAAGACGTTATAAATCAGTTATATAATGACGGATATATGAGTATTGATTGTACTTTACTCATGCTGTTATTACGTTCTGTTTATTTTCTGTCTTTGTTAAACATCCCACTTTTGTCTTATTTCTAATATATAATACTTTTTGGCAACTAGGTGTTTTTCGTGACCCACTGAAATACATGCAAGAACATCTACATAAGAACAAAAGTAGTTTTTTCTACTTCGTACTTTAGCTGATACAGCAGAAAGTTTGCCAAGATAATAATGGGCATTCGTCAAGCTGCCTCACCGATTGTAGAATATTTGCACCATTCTAGCCATGATGAAAAGCTCTTGTTTTCATTCCTCGAATATATTCCGTTGCAGACATTTGTGAAGTGTATTTGTCCCTGCGTTACCCGCTGTTTTTTCTTGCTCCCCCGCCACTCTTCGTTGAACCCCAGTCGTCGCGGCTACAGCTTGTATACGACAAATTCACAAGACAAAGCGGCAAGCAGCTAACGATACGCTAGTTATCATTACAATATTTGCTTTTTCCGAAATGCAGGCGCACAGGTGCTGAGAGTCAACAACGATCGATATAGACACGTGTAGGATTGTTTTATGATGTTTTTCGTTCACTTCGCGCACTCCGAATAACTCCCAACAGGAGAACATTGATATAAGAGTATACATTTGCATTTCAACTAAGCGAACTGACCTAATTTTAGGGTTGGCTAGCAAAAACGAATATCTCAGAGGCACTCACCCGTGCTTATATAGTCGTAGATGTGTATCTATTCTTAGATTATACTGTTTGGACCAATACAACTTCACCACATTTATTCGGCAGGGCGTTTTTATTCCGTCCGGTGCGTTCAACTTCATCTTATACTGTGTAGATCTTATCGTGACCTCTAGCGGTCCGGCCGGGCTAGATTCCGTTGTCTTTAAAGCCGACCAACGGACAGCCTTCCATGTTGCCTTTACAATCAGACTCCCCGTCGTATTGATTATCGTGTTGCACATAACAGTGCACGTAGAGATCGAGGCCGTTCGCCTCCTACAAGTTGGTAGACGCCGCAGCTGTGCACATATGCACGTACTTTAGCCCAAATTCTTCTTTCCGGAAAATAACATATTATCACACGCTGCTCATGCTTAGGTGACCCTAACGACGTTTAGGTCTCAGACACCTGCAAAAGGTATGGCTCGTAATTTCGTTGCATCGGAACAGTCAAGAATGCTTCACCTAAATAAGATGCCATTTTCCAACCTTTTCACAGTACACTAATAACTGGTGCCCACTCCGTGAGGTCAGGATCATTATAAAGACTCGTAGTAATCGAGGTGCTTGTTAACCTAACGGTCCAAGCCGCACTCCAGTAATCAAACCGCGGTCGAGTTGCTAGTATGAATCAGCTTTAAACAATACATTCGAGTACTTTACTACTGTTTGACCGTACATAAATGAGCGACGCATAGCGCTCAACCGCGTGTCGCCTCATATTGTATCGACGTATGTATCTCTCTATTTTTGTATTCTCGTAATACGCGTGAAAATCGTCGTTGGCCTGTGTAGATGAAAAAGCAAACAGTGCACCACACACGTCTAACACATCCATAGACGTATGTCGTGTTGCTCATCGTCCTTCATCAGGAAGTCGCTGCTAGATATCGCATTGGGTGGAGCCGTCTGATTCGATGCCCCCTTCTGCACCTCCTTTCTTGCTTGCCAGAAGCGTTGGCTATCATTCGGTCCGGTCGAAACATTAAGACTAGTCATGCGTTCTGGCGCTAAGTAAAGGGAGGACTCATCAATGACATTTAGAAGTAAACTTTTCCTGACCTATTTACTAGCTGGTCGATACATCGAATGCCCTTTTAATATATCAATATTGTGCTCGACAGTATTAACATAAATTGGGCGTACGAATGCAGAGGTTGTGTGCGGGTTTGCCTGCTGTCCTGGCCGTATGGCTACTATGGACGAATGGTTCCTTGCAGGCAACGAAAACCTGTTTGGTACACTCCAGCCGGATGTGTTATTTTCGTCTGCATCGTCTACCATCAGTAAAGGCTTGTGAACCACTGGAAATCGGGCAAGGTCACGAGTCCAATACGTTATCCGAACTCCCAGACGGTTCCTCTCTGCTTCCCTAGGTATCCGTTCATTCGACCCAAGCTAGTTCAGTCTATTTTCGGCTCGTGACTCCTTTTACTCTGCTATTGACGAATCTCCCATAGACACATGTTTGTACAAGCGAGCAACTATATATCCATAGGAATATGGTCAGCTGTCAAATTATGAATGCAAAAACTTCTTTTTTCTCTCGAATGTACTGACAGGCTTATCAGCGGGATATCGCAAAAATACTAACCGAGCTAGACTGGAAACATTCAGCATTCAGTAACAGAAGGACACCCGTGAAAGTTTGATGGGCATTAATGCCATTGAGCAGTAACATTGACCGCGTATTGTATATTTTTTCTGCGGTAGAATTGTGAGCTAGGAGCAATAGAATCGTATACGTGAAAGATCGCGCGGTTAGTCGGAAGAGTGTACGTTTCTGTATTTGTTCCGTTATAATCCGATGGGAATAAAAGTGTTCATTAAATGTGCTATTCATTAATCTGACAGCCTACCGGATGACAGGCATAAAGAGCAATTCGATGATGTCTTATCTTGTGAAAAAGACTGCTTAACTGATCAGGACTTGCACAATGCCTCTGCAGTACTGCAAGAAGTTAGATGAGCATTTTCTCAAGACAGGAGTGCGAAGATAGCACTTCGCATCGATGACAACGGTATATTCCAACCTTTTCACTGAATGCAATTAATGAAACTTGCGAGTTTTAGGTGCTATATGGCCATGAACTATTACTTAAGAACACGGCTGAGCTCAGTTATGCTGACATAACTGTTCATAGCGGAAGAGTTTAGCTGCACATAGGCGCAAGAACGTGTGTGATCGGTATATATTTTTCTCACGAAAATAGCTCTTATGACTAAATTATATAATAATACACATATATATACGAAAAACATGCTTAAATATTGGGCTTACTTACTGTAGGTAACTTAGCAGTCGCAAGATGGCATACCCTTTTTAGAGGCTCTTCTATTTCATAGCAATTCAGAATCTAAATGTGTTAGAAAGCCAACTGATATAAACTGCTTTACTTTTAGACGATCCTTAATGTCCTTTAACTTTGAACAAACATTAAAGTGTAAATTGGATCAAACTTCAGCTTTCGTACGAATATTATAGTTTTCTGTTATTCAGACAGATTTTCCTAAACAACTCTTTTAGCTCGTGTTAATTTTGTCATTTGCTCTGGTCGTACGCTTAAGGGTGAACGGATGGCATACGAAGATAAGTTGTCTGCAGTTTGTTTCGAGAAACGACAGCTTGAAAGCCATGTGAGGGCACTCCACGTAAGCTGTGTGGCGGGTGGAGGTGGCACAGGCACTGCTGGGAGCTCTCTAGGAACCGTAGTTCCCTCCAGGAGTTTGGCCGCTGCAGGTGTTGTCACAGGTCCTGCTTCCGGCCAGGGATTGCCCGCAGGATCAACAGGATCTGCTGCGGCCACCAATTCTGCCAGCAGCGTTCATCCAGCGGTCAATTCTAGTCATCTCGGGTCGTTTCATGACTCTCCCAGCATAAACGATAAGGTTCGTTTATATGAATGCTTACAAAATATTATGTAATTTTACGATAGTACAGCTACTAAGTTATTTTTCGTTTTAGCAAATTTCTTTTACTTTCACCATCAGATGGTAAAAATATAATATGCTCCCGTGTATAAAGATGCTCTTATAGCGGTCACCTAGTCACCTAGCCAAATTGGGTCACATTTTCCGTTTGCGAAAAAAAAACTTCAGAAGTTGTTCGAGCTTGACGTGCAAAACTAGCTAAAAACCTTATTAGGTTTATTATCAATCTCGTATGCAAATAGTTCTTAGAGATTCGGTCTAGGTTTATCAAAATACTTAATACTTAATTTTAACACACCAACAAAGAATTAGAATTGTTATAACACACTCTTCGCAAATGTTTTTAAGAGATTAATTAGCTTAGGATAAAGACCAATAGTGCGACCCTTTTTATAGCAACAGTAAATGTTTAGCCGTAGAATTGTTAAGCAATCACCTTACTCAACCTTTACACATATACATTTGAAAGAATGACTGTCACACTCCAACATAGTACAAGGAAGCCATTGAGAACAAATGTTATTTGTTCTCAATGGCTTCCTTGTATTAATATTATAAATACTTTCCATATACGTGGTATAGAAGCAAACTTCGATGAAGGATTCTGTACATGGATGGCAGTACACATCCGTTGTATATGTCTGCTTGTCTATGTTTGGAAACGTTTCACCGAAGAGAAAGGCAACCTAGCGTTTCTATGGGTTGGCGTCAACAAGTCTGTTGCCACCCAGAAAGTAAAAATGTAACCCCAGAAAATGGATAATGCTAACTACACCTTGCAGGATATGTTCATTAAAGGGTACGTTATCACTATTATGCATATCTACGAAAACAGTGTGTTATTTTACTATGCATTTTGCCTCGTTAAGTTTGCCCAGTATCAGTAAAGCGGACACTTTCTCTCGGAAATAGCCAAACATTGATTTCGACAATAGAACGAAGCCTATTGAATCACGTGTTTTATTCTTGTAGGAACCGTCTAAACAACTGGTTACGTATAAGTAGGCTCTATATACGGTTGGACCTAGATAATATTTTGCCATAAAATACACAAGTAACATTATCTTCGGCACCTTGATACCATCTGAAATGACCCGATCCGGTGTACATTGGCGACATATTCGTACGACCTGTTTCACTCCGATTTCATGCCGCATTTTCCTATTTAGAATAACAGTCAAATACGGCAACATAGAATCTATGAGGAATTTTCGTGTTTACTAATGACGCTCGTAAAAAATGTGTCACGATGTTATTGGAGCCGGCAGCATCTCTCAGAGTATGCCAGTCCTAGTACAGAGGAAATTAAAAAAAAACGTGCCTTTAAGCACAGACATTACCTAGACAGGCACATGTACGTGTAGTGCTATTTAAACGAACACCCTATCTAAGTGTACAGGATAACTAACGTTATTGAGAGCTATAAAAACATAGAAATGCTATTAAAAAAGGAAAACAATACACAAATATGGAATAGAGGAATATCGTATGGTGAACAATAATAGTTCAAGTTTTAAGCTCGTGTAATTCAATTTCGATTGTATGTCTAGGTGTCCCGTGTCCTTCAGATAGACAATCCTTTGGAACTGCAACGCCAGTTGATTGAACACATCATGGATAATGCGGCTCTAATTGACAGACTGCGAAAACTAGAGGCCACGTGGGCGAAGCGACATCATGACTGGGCAAAGACCGAAGAGGTAGGTCAAAAACTATAGAAAAAAAAAAGACAATTTCTAGGTAGCAATATCTGGGGCTGCCTATAATAGATATTTTTCTTTCTAACTAATATATTTGATATTGCTTAATATAAAATAAAATAGATTGGCATAGGTTGTCCTGGTATGTCAGTTTTATCCATTTTTACATCATCTACGTTAATGCTAAAATATTCTATGCTTCAACTTTTGTCTACACTCAGCTGATTCGAATTTGCTGAATCTGTGTTATCTATAGTGCGTGGTAATCTTGTAATTAACGCAGGTTTTCTGTTTTTTAGACACTTTTACATTGTTTATATCTCTTTGTTTTCCTATTCTTATCGTATGCATCAATATACATCACGCTGTTATTCGCTTGTAGGCGCTGCAATCGCACGTAGATGACTTAATGGGTGAGCGGGACGAGTGCATATCCGCATTACGAAAAAACCAAGTTGATTTACGAAGACTTCGTTCGAGACTCACGTTTCTTGAAAGCGCCGTCCACAAATTTGACGGAGGACCGACGCACGGGACTCACGACGCTCGAGAGGCCCTCGATCAAATCGATGAGATGGAAGCTGCCCTCCCATTACCGCCATGGATGCAGAGTTCCTCACCCCGTCTCGTACAGAGCTACCATAATAATCTAGCAATCGGGCTAGGCGAACGGAAAAGCCCGCATCATTCGCTACCCCCACGGGTTGGCGTTAACCAAGCGGCCAACGCTCATCTATTCCGCAATGAAGGCCCGGCCTCGTTATTGAGTAATCAGTGGCGCCGACCCGGAGCTAATTCACCGCAAGACCTTATGTCGGTACATGACGATCTAACGTCGCATATCGATCAGATATGTTCCGAGTTCGACCCGCTCAGTGGTAAGGAGGGCCAAGCACCGGGAGCCACACAGGGTCATGACTACGACTCCTTAGACTTATCGATGCCGCTTCAGCCAACGAAGCTTCACAGCGCGCTGACTTAGTATACTTCATTGAATTCTGACGTGAAACGCCTGATTATTAAAATAGACAAAGCTCTATGGCCCATTTAGAATAGGTAGGTAGTAGATAGATGGAATCGATGCCTGCACCGTATCTGTGGTGATAGAATACCTCATTATAATTGAATCCTGTAAACAAATTTCCGAGGATCCGATGCTTAATGATCCGGTATCAAGCCTTCTTTATATCATCCTGATTGATCCTTTTGGCAATACGTAATCTTCCCCATAGGATGCTACTAATTCGTTTGATGATAAATTACACTCTATTAATGCAATTATTTCTTGTCAAAAACAAGATCTCGTATTGTAGCAAAACGAGCGATCTTGAAAAACTATGACAAGATGGAATGACACACCTTTTCCCATATGGTAGTTGTTCAGAGATGATTTACGTACACAGGTGATTTAATTAAAAAAAAAAAAAGGAAATGAGGGAACCAACTTGCGGAAAACTGATCCAAGCGAATATAAACCTCGGTATTGACCGTCGTACCATGTAATCTATTTTAACAGCTTTAGAACCAAATCGTCTCACACAGCAAAATGATCAGCGAGACATAAATAAAAATACTATAAGTAAAAAGTGAGTACGAGGCCGTATACCAAATACATACGCGCTTGACATGGGCGTAGCCGGTCGGCTGTCTGTCTATAAGACATCATGACAAAAACAATAGCTGTTGAACATCATGTTTTACACAGAAGCATACACATACATACACACTCATATATCAAATGAGGGAACAAGATATGAACTATAAATAAATGCTGTTAACTATTATATTCTGTTAGGACGACGACGACGACTAGATTGATAAATGAGCGGGTTCGGATAGACAAGACTTCGTCGGTCCTGAAGAGCCTACGCCGGATTTACTAGCATAACAATAAGTCTGCGGTGATTACTGTGTAGCTTTCATGTTAATTAATGTATATTTGTTGTTAAGGTTTCGGCGGCACTGCCGACAGGAGATTGACTGCCGCAATTTTCACTTTCGTGGCTGAATCCGATTCGTGGGTGGTGAGATATTGGTCGTTTGATTTGAATTTCTGCACGACTACTTTATATTATTTCTATTATTAGTATTATGACCACCATATTGATTCGTACTGTTTCTGCTTTATACGTATACCGTTAGAACTGTAGAATCGAAATTAGCGTAGCTTCATTCTAATTTGTGGATCCTGATCTTCTACCACACTATATATATATAGCTGTTGTAGCTTTGTGAGTTCTCGGATGTTAAATAGCATTTGTCATCTGAATCCTTTTACATATCTGCACACGTATCAAGGTACCACATATGTTGTGTCCATTGAAGATGCACCGTGGATGTTGTAACCAAAGACCTGCCGTGTCTTCACTGTCCGCTCTTGAAGCTTCGAACGACTTTTTTGGAACTAACTGCTCGAAATAGTTTTATCTTATTTTTAGCCATCAGATAATCGGGTTGGCGACCGCGTGGTTACTAAGCATCGGGTGAATTTTTCATAATGAACATCTGTTCAGTTAGAAAATAGCCATATTGTTTATAAATTTTCACCTTGAAGGAACAATTGTTTAGATCTTTTTTCAACGCCCGTGGTTCGCACAAATCAGTGATTTGCGTCGCTTCGTCGTATTATCTATAGTCCTACAATTACCTCACCATACCTGTATGTTGATTCCCCATCTAGGAACATACTTTTTTTTTTAGTGTTCTTAGATTGAGCCCGTTGCAATCACATGGCTGAGTGTTATTATTAAAAGTCGACTTGCGAGGTCGCCAAAACAGTCACAGATTGACATTATCCTCAACGCGCGGCGAATACTAACAAGCAATTACAATAAAACTGACACTGATGGACATAAACAAACAAAAATAAATAGGACACCCGAACGAAATAAGGACGAGTTTACTCGAGAATGTGACATGGCGACGCGATATATATATATATATATATATCGAAAAATGAAAAAATAGGTTTAGGTACTCTTGGAACCCAGTTGTACTGACACATCTGCTATAGTTGTCGCACAGCTTAGCCACAACCGCTGTTATGGCTTTTGTGGTTCGCCCTTGTGGGTAGATTATAAGCACTGAAGAAGCGTGAAGATTTACTCGTCAGCTAGAAATCTTTAGAAGTTTATTATTGAATAGGGCGACGACGATGATGATGAAAAAACGTGAAAGATGACTGTTATTATTATAATTATTATTGCAATACAGACCAACGAAGAAAGTGAGACAGGCGTATTTGATTTAGAGCGAGCGAGCGAGCGATAGAGAGGCAGGGATGAATAGACAGGCAAATACAGTGAACTGATATGGAAAATAGGACGACACAAGCAAGAATGAAAAAAATTTTAGAAAAAATGCTGTCATTATAATATGATGAGGAAGCTATTGACAACAAATACGAACAAGACGACACCAAGGCCAGGAATCTACAAAAGCAGAACTGCGTTTGTGTACCGTAGGCGTGTACGACACGTTCCATTGAAGAAATGGGAAATATCGTGGATTAGAAAAAAAAGAAAAAAACGATATTATTGATAATGTCATACTCAAGGAGATAACTAGCAGATGGATGGTCAGGACAATGATAGTACTTCGGTCACCTGCGCTGCGTCGCCGGTGTGTACATATTAATAATAATAATATAAAAAAATTATAAATACAAAATCAATAGACTAATAATAATAATAATGGTGAGGCAAATAAAGCGAATCAACAAAATGCCCGAAAGTCACCAAATAAATAATCACTTTTTTAGTGGTAGAAAACGTGCTATGCACTTATTGCATGAAATGTGTTCTTACAGATAGAGCTAGTGAATCGTTAATGGCAAAGTATTTATGCATAGCTTGTCCATATAGCACGTTCTGATAATTTTCATCATAGTTTTATCTTATCTAGACATAGCGTAATTTATAAACAGCGTATGGGTTTTTCAGGACAAAAAATTAACGTCTAGGCTACGAACTTTACGTCTGGTAGGCACTCTAAATAAAGGGCTAGACCCTAGTACGCAACGAAGTGTGTTTCTGGTCGGGTTTAAACATAGACCACAGTGTGTCCCTAAGATCAGCAGATAAACATGTTACCCCTTAAGATATCACTACGATCTCTTTCTAACACGCATTTAAACTAAGTATCGTTATGTAAATGTAAGTATTAAGCGATTTTTCTTACATGTATGCACAAAGGTATCTCGATACACGTATCAATTAGTTGCTATTCGCTTAGAGGACGACTTCAGTTTAGGACTAAACAGCTAAACAACTGGTACTTAAGTATTCCTACCTTATAATGAATTTTAAGTGCTTCCTCTCTGGCGCGACACTGTTATACTGACATTTATCACACTCTCATCCAATCAGCACAAATGCTCATCCAGTCTTATACAGATGTATGGTTGTCTGAATGCAAGTTCGATCTTGCTGAAAGGAGTACCGTGGCTTATCAGTTGACATGGTATCGAAAGACTAGGATCGTCAGAAATGCACTTTTACCCTGTTCTAATTAATGACGGGGTTCTAGAATTTGGCATACAGAAACCTGTTTCTATACCTCTTACAGTTGCGTACAATATGATAAAACATAAATTTTAGGTAACCAAGGATATCCTGGCTAACAAATTCTTTTGGTCTAAGGACACTAGACAGTATCTGCGCTTATAATCTAAATAACAGCCTCGTTCTTATGCGATAAACGAAGCACCAACTATTAACTACAATTTCTCGACGCATATTTTATACAACCGTAGTATAGAATGAAAAACAAGATGGCACGTCGTGGTACTGCTCTGGTACCCAGAGTTGTTGATAGCATACGCCGGTATTAAGCCGTAAAGATCGGTCTAGTTCCTACAGGATGTAATAAACTTATCGTGCTATGCCTCGGATTCATTTTCATTTTTCTAGCGAACATCGCATCACAAATTCATGCGGTCAGAACCCGGGTTATCATGGACGACTAACACTAGACAACTGGAACAAATGGACCGCTCTATAGCGTCGTTTTTGTAGCTAAAAAAAAAAAAGACATCAAGCAATTAGATTTATATAACGGCGCGGTTTTGAATGATCATTAGCAGTAGAAGGTACATTTACGACCTACTTTTTTCATATTTTTTTTTAACTCTTTACTTTTGACCTCGTAATTACAACAATCATCGAAAATTTTGTAGCGGGAGCTTTAATCACAGATTAAAGACCAATTGTAAACTGGGCGTTCTCTTGGCTATTGATTGATAGATATTTCCTGTAACTAATGCGAAATTACCGACTATGGCTAATGCAGTCTATGCAGGATTCATTGAAAGTGCGGCTAGTGGCCTAAAAGAAAAGATACTTTCTCAAGGTCACAACGGTGCCCCATTGTGTTTCATGTTTATTATATTTTCAAAAGTGACTAAATATCTCCGGAATTGTTGATAATTTGTCGAATGAACATAAAATAAAAAAACCTTATTATGAGTGATTTTCTGCAGCTGAATAGAAATCTCACGTTTGTCCAACCAGAAAGAAACGATCTTTTTTTATACATTATAGACTGCATGCATGTAGCAATAATCAATTAATACAACTGAAAATAAAACAGTTAGGCTCGATACAGACCCAAACAATGGAAATTCGTTTGTATGAAATAGGTCCTAACCGATACTAATGCGACTACTGTGAGGCGTTCTAAAATTAATGGGTGCCCCACGTACCTGACCCAATCTGAAAGTCAACAAACGAAAGGGGTGACAGCGGCCCTTTGACCTGCGAAACTAGCTTATAGGTTGAATCTGATCATACCAGAGCTTCTTACTTTTGTTATTAAGTGAACAAGGAAAAACCGCTAAACGGATGTTTAAACTGGACTCTTTTTTTAAATATACTAGTCAATTCAGCTTACTCAAATTCAATGACTAGTGAAAAATACAATAACAAATACCTTATTCTTTTCAGTTAAATGAGCCTTTTCCCACTTTCCAAGTAGATTAGAAATTGCGTTATGTCCTTCCTAAAGGACACTAGATCGTCCCAATATTGTCTATTACTGTTATTTATTACGTATAAAATAACTGTTACATACCTATAGTTAGCATTTCTCTGTATCGTAAGTTGGTATTCACTACAACATCAGCCATTCGATCCCACACCAAGTTCTGAGGCCGAGATAACAATGCAATAATACTATATATAATTTTCATTCAGCAGAAGACAAACGTACGTAATTGAGAAAAAAGCGCAACAAAAGCGCAAATTTGCTGGATGGAGCTAGGAGTTAATCAAATAAAATATAAAATACTTCCTCATTTTAAGATTCAATTGAAGTTCTGCTTTTTGTTTTCAGTTATCACGCATCACCTTCGTACATCACCACACGCTTATTAAGTTGACCCTATATCGATTGACTCGAACAGCCATTGAACTAAAGCGCTATGAACTGCTTAACATACAGCAGCTCAATCCCAATTACCGAATTTGAATATCTCTATCCATAGAACTTAACTACTGTAATTGTTACCAGCTTGAGAACTTTGACATCTATTTGCTCCGGGCCGCGTGTCGCCAATTCGACGATCGACTCAATCTGCTGAACTTGGGAGCGTGCGGTCTGTATTCACGATTACGGAAACCTGTATTATGTTTAGAAGCTCTGTTCGCGATATCTCTGAGATGCGCAGGAATCTCCTGATCAGCTTGAGCTAACACACTGATAAGACCCTTCGCGAATGGCGCATCCGCCTGAAAATGCAAACCATATTGCATATACTTACTTTTTGTTTAGCCTGCTAGTTTAGCACGACTTTTATGGCACTATTACGTGTGAATTTTTAGTTGACACATTGTAACGGGAAACGACTTTGTGTTTAACGTATAGACCAGTTCGTCTGTTAACACGACGGCAACTAAATTCAGCTTTACTTCGGCTTTGTTTGTCTGTCTGTTTGTTTATTGTTGTTGTTATTCTTGCTGTTTTTAGAGTCTTTACTGTGTCCTTGTATAAAGGTAATACTTCTGGTAAACTTCGTAATTCGTTCACAATGGCGACGCTTTGCTATGTATAACGATTGTTTAATATGGGTTCCTCCGCTTAGAATTTCGTAAAATCATGTTTAGCTTTGCTCATTTCTTTAATGTATTGCCAATCTAATATTTGAGTTCTCCCGGCGAGTTGCACACATCAGTGAGAAAAGTATGGCCTCTACAATCCTAGCCGATAGTATATCGCAATGAAGCGGCACCAACTGGAAATGATACAAATTAATGTACTGACGTTCACGGCCCCATATTTTTGCTGTCCATCATAGCTGAATATAGGTGAATTAGATCTGGGTACAGTATAATGATACTCAGGAAAAAATATACTTACATATATTTTATTTATTTAGAAAAAGATATTGGACACAATCCTATGGGGCCGTATTTGCTCTGGCAAATCTTTGCCTTATAATCTTTGTTTTCTTGAGATATCTAAATATGTTACACATTACTAAAAGATATCGAAACATTTTCCCGTACTGGGACGTAAACGCAATGTAGACCTTGCAGGTCACAGGGTGTACTATATTATGCTTGTATGTATTCCCATAGGACAAACACTCCTCGATCCAAGACCAGTCTAATCCGAAATTGCGTATTCATATAGAAAAATTTGACAATGAACTTTTGTGAAATTCCTCAATGTTAGTTTCTTACATCCCTATCAAGTTGCAAACTGATCCTTGAATTTACGTAAAGCAATTTGTTTTCTTTTTGGCTGCTTTTCAGGCTAGGCAAATTGCAAAGATTTGACCATAGAAGATCGATCAATTTAGCCTGAAAGGCTATGTCCTTCGATTTCGACAAAGTCGCACAGAGACAAATATATCGTATATTTCGCTGGCAAACGACAGTTTCTACAGACAGAGATCAGCAGCAGGCTTTTTACTTACACAGCTTCGCAATATCACTATTCTAACACTATTTTATGCTATGTACTTTAAAGTTATCTCTAATCGTCACTGTTTTATATCAGTTCAATTTCAAGTTGAAATTGTGGTTTACGTGACTGACCAGGTCGATCACGCATATTACAGATGTTTTTAATGAAAGCCTATAAATATAATTCAAAAACAACTACATCGTGCGAACTTAAACATTTCCTGTGAAACGTGTATGAAGCTCTCGATAATTTTACTTTCTAATCATAAAAGGAAGCTTCCCTTCGTTTCAAGTTTAATAGCAAGTTAGCTTATGGCTCTAATACGCGGTCATATACCAGGCACTGATCCTCTTGTACTACTGCTTCTAGTCCTGTCTACGCTATTAGAAATACTACACAGAAAAACAGTATACTTTGGTTGTGCTTAGTAAACCGCTACCTAACTAGAGCTAAAATTCTTCGCTGCTTTCTTCACTGACCGTTTAGCACAGTGTCACAGACTGAGCAGGAGGTTCCTATTACTTACGTTCTATGATTGTAGCACATTACTCATTCTTCTTTCCGCCTCTAGCCAAAGCCCCACTTTAACGCCTTTGGAAACGAACAACGGCAATAGGATAAGGTGTGTATGAGAAGAAGACTAGCTGGCCTTGGGCATCTAGACGGAATGAGAAGAACTGCTTGAGGACTTACGTAACAACACCTGACTATGCGCGCGAACGCAACAGGAACTCTACAGCCCACCTGTACAAACTACTTCAGAACGATGGACATAGGACTACACTGAAGTGAGCGGTACCCTCTGAAAAGGCACTATTTCATACGTCTTCAACGGTACTAGTAGCAACGTCCGAAAATGATGGCACCCCGCCCCCTTTCTCTCACATCTAAGCGTTTTTTTGCCAGTTTCCTTTTTACGATGTTAAGTAGCTCCAGTTAGGGCCTAACAGCGGGTTCTAAAAAGATGCCCCCAGCGAGAAGGTCTCAGCAGCGCCGTCGGCCGACTTAATAATAAAGCAGCAAGGCACTTCTCTGTTTTGCTTAAGCCTCATTAACATAAACGCAATGATATGCAGGGATGCACAGCGATATCAATTCACAACGAGCATTTAAAACAAACAAAGCATAACGTACAAAAAGTACGCGGTCGCTAGAACCGCATCGTTTAACAACTCATTGGTATGATCTTTTTAGCTTTGTTGCATTTTTTTCCTTTCGTGTAAAGAGTAGATAAGGAAAAATCATTGGAGACAAGAAAAAATACATACGATTTTGAACAAAGCAAATAATCCTAAAAGCATTGATTTTAGCATTGTCTAACAACGAAAGCAGTTAAGCGGGATTAGAGGGGAATGCGTCCATATATTACAGACTGCGACATAGCAAAACTTGAACAAACTTTATAAAAAGTTACTTGCGGATTTCGCCATCACCATCAAAAAGGAGCAAACTTAACAAATGTTTGCGTTACTTCTCTACCTACGACAAAAATATAGCTCTCACGAATAGTAGCGAGCAAGAAAGCATCGACTTAACACTCCTTAATAATGGTATTGAACGCGACACTTCATCTTCATGCCCGAATGCACTACGACGCTCAAGTTGTCGCTTGTTAAATAGGCACACAAAGCCGCCATTCTTTGTCTAACGTGAAGATAAGCACATTTAAATTCTATGCATTATAACAACAGTTAAGTAGATTTCAACGCATGTAAGTTATCCTGTCAATTAAGCGAAGTTCGATTAACAAGCAACGAATAAACAAAGTGGTTAAACGCGTAAGAATTGTGACGAAGTTCAATTGAATTGAACTTCGATTTCTTTGCTTTCTGATCGTTATGCTTGTCTAGTCCTCATGAATGATCCCAGCAATTAAGCTATCAAAGGATTTAGACCATTTTATTAATTGAAAATTGTCCAGAACATTTGTATCAGAATGGTCCGTATCCTGGCACATGACAGCCGGATTAGCCGGGCTATTTTCTTTATTATTTTAGCTCTTTTCTATGCTTCGTTCACAACAAATCCGCTGGGGTAGTCAAAGAAGCGTGCGCATGCTGAATAACTTTGTTTCTTCTAGACCGACTGACACTGTTCAATATTATATATATATATATAATAATAACCTATATATATATATATATATATATATATATAGGTATATATATACCTATAATATTATTTTTACCCAGTACAGGTGTTGCGTATTGCAAACTATGGTCGTACAATGCTAAGAGCAAATAGACAAATCTTAGATTAGAACCCATATCCATAGAAAGGTACATTGGCGAAGCAGTTGCCTCGAAACTTATCACTTTACGTGCTGTTTTTAAACAAGTTTATCGTAGCGTCAGACAAAACATTTGTTAGTGTAATGCTAAAGTGTTACCGTAAATTTTCAAGTAATAGAGACGAAACGAACTAGTGATAACGAATTTCGAAATTCGTAGTTCCTGTATCAGGCCTGGTAAGCTTGGCCTACTCACTGGCAGTCGGAATTCGCGGTCCAGGCCACGCTGGGAATTTAGGATAGCGCGAAACGTCATCTTCGATAACGTAAGATACAGAATTATATGGAACTTTAATTAATTATTGGCACAGTGCGCTTCCCAACTCAGAGCGTTCTAAGTTCAGAGCGTCATCCGATTATTCGCCATAATGATAGGTCACTCACCTCGGTAAAAAAGGTTATCGCCTCGCCCTTAGATCCGCTTCGGCCAGTTCGTCCGATACGGTGTATATAATCTTCAACTGTCTGTGGGAAATCAACGTTAATCACAAGGCTGATGTTTTGCACGTCAAGACCTCGGGCGGCCACATCGGTCGCGACCATCACATTCGTAGTGCCTACGTAATCCACATAAATGACAAACATATCATTATAAATGGTAACATATCCGGAATCACTGTGTAACAATCGGCAAAAACGACGAACACTTTTAAGAGCAGTAGCATAACGTCTAAGAAGAACCAGATCGGCCACTGACTACAGTAGAATATTCTATTTACCCTTGAAATGTTGAAGTGACCTCTCTCGTTTAGCTTGGCTGAGATCGCCATGAGATTCAACGCAACGAATTCCGGACTGAAGCAACTCTCGGGCTATCGACGAAACGGTTCGCTTTGTGCCGGCGAATATAAGGATCTGACCACAGAAAATAGGACCCAGTGAATTTCTATCTTGTGGTCCCTAAGGAACCAAACTTGACTTTAGCATAACAATGGAAAAATTGAAATACTGAGAGAGATCCTTTAATTTTATAATTCAGAGCACTGCGGGTTAAGTGGTAGTATCATTTCTATTCGAATTTTAGAAAAATTAATATCACGGAACCGAACCGAGCAACTGTCACTAAATATATTTGTTTTGTCAATTTGATTTACAAGTTGAATACTTTATACGATCGGCATAGAAAGCCAGTCTTAATTGTGGGCCAAGCTACCTTATGAGTGGGCCGTGAATGAACAATATCGAGAAGCATTGCACGTTTTCTGTTTTCCGGTATAACTCGGACTTCCTGCTTGATGTTCTCATTAGCACATAATTCGGTCGAGCCTGTAATGAGTACCAGAACAGAAATCACAATTGGTTAATAAGTTACCGCAGGCCCAAACAACGCCGCCACTGAACGCGCACGCGCAGCCCGTTTACGCTATAACAGTTTGATTTAAATTAATTTAATTACGCTAATTCAATACTTCCAAGTCGGACTGCCTTTAGCAGTATAGGAAAACGTAAATGGAGTAGAGATTTTCAAGAAATCACGCCAAGCTAATATTACCTTCGTGCATAAAAAAAAATTTGATAAAAATATTTAAAGCTTAAAAGATCCTTTTTTCATATCTGGCTTCCAATTGCAACGAAATCTTTCTGGCACGCCGGTTTTTTTTTTTCTGTTAGATATACATCAATGATACAAGTAATAATACGGAGCTACACTGGGCGTAAGCATTACGCGTGAGTACGGACTCTTCTAATATCACTGCCGCCACTTGTGTTGTCCGATATGAGGTAAAAATCCATCTCCATAAGAAGAAGTTCAATGGAAAAAAAAAACGAATATTTTTCATTGTTTTGATATGTGCTCCTTTGTTTGGGGAAACACACTCCGTTACGCTAAGAAGCATCATAATATGCGGCGCTTCCTTTTCCTGGAGCATTAGCTCTTGGATATTTGGAGATCTCATACATAAACGCATAGCTCATACTTCAGGACGTGTAGGCTATAATGGTTTGGATAAGGTTTCGGCAGTGATATTTCCAGCGACCTAACGATTAATTATGGTAATGCTGACGATGCTGCTGTCACAAATGGAAAGGGCTACAGTTTTGTTTTTTTTTCATTGACAAGAAATTAATGATTTTCAGACTAATGCTCATTGTTGTTCGGTAACGACGGCCACATGAGTAAATAGCATGACCTAGCGCTTCAAAACGCTGTTGCGTATTTGTTGTGTTGTTCGCTGTGAACAATGCTAACTTGTGTCCGACCTGTGACGATGTGGTATTATATATATCAGGCAGGCCTCCGCATAGCAGAAAGTGCCGCGCACAAAATCTGTACTAGATATTCTTCAACAGACATGAAGATTATTTAGCTTATTCTATTACCATAACTCTTACTGCTGTTACTATCATCAATATTTTAAGCACCTAAGGTATGAGTCATTCATTCCTGGTGTTTGAATATTATTCCGCCGCACGGAAGGTGCAAGTGCAGACAAAGTATCGTCCACAAAAGCCGGTAGAGAACTTGAATCGAGGGGTGGACTCATTAAGATCTTGAGCAAAAACGCTTGTTCCCAAGCCCAATGTTTACGGCACTATCGCGCAATGCATGGTTAAGTCTATCGTACTTCTTTGTTCAGAAGGGCATAGGCATCGTAGGTCCACATCTTACTGATGCCGCAGATCGAACGGCCAACAATCGAAGGAAAGGGACACGAAATACAGCAGTTCACGTTAGAGGTGACAATCTGCGACGTAAATTTGTTCTTCACGAGTTTTTGGCGGGTGACTGAGTTGGGCCCGATTATACAGTGCGCTTCCTTCTGGATGACCCCCCATTGTAATACCTCATGCTTCAAATTCGGGGTGTAACAATACATAAGGAGAAGAGATTGAGAGCACGCTGCGGATTAAAAAGCTTATTACGATTGAAGCATTGCAGTCTTTAAGGCCTTTATACCTTGTTTTGTGGAAAAGTTTGAAAAAAAGACTGATCCTGTTGCCTGTGAGCTTGAGCGCGGTCGGATGGTCGGTGGGGAGAAGTCGTTCTGCAATAGCTGAAGATATTTTAGGTCGTTTTAGCTGAACTTTTTTAGTGAACGAATTTAGCTGCTTCACATGGGCGTACGAGAAACCTCACGTCATTTGCGAATAATAACTTTACGGAGCTGCAATAATCAAATACTGTGTACTTTAGACAGGAAGTACTAATGTATTGTAGATAGCAGCAATATGTGATTTCGACGAGATGCTGTCGCCAAATTTCTGTCCATGTTCATATCTTAGAAGTCGTATCCATACGAAAGATGTCAGGCCACTACATTTTTTACAGAAAAATCGAACCGCCGGAATTTACCTATGTGTTTTACAAAATCCGCAGTGGTACGATCGGTGTGAAAGAATAGATAGAATGCCTGAAAAAATCGTACGTCTCCCAGTAAGGCGGTGCATATGCGTACACTAGCTAAATCGTCCAAGACTGACAGCTTGTAAGTCTCACTATGTTTTAGAATTATCACATGTGGCCGCCGAACAGCCCAGATTAAAACCCGTTTATTATTATTACGCTTATTACGTCAAAGCATCCACACAACTGCGACAAAAGAAAACTTTCGAGCGAGTCTAAGGTGAATTTAGGTCCAAAAATCGAAGCTGAAATCAAGACGTACAAACGCCATATCGAATACGCAAGACCGTTATACCACTGGCACTATTAACGCATGCAAAAAAAGTCGTTGCATGAGCTTCTAGGTGAGCACGCCAGCGAATTATTATGTAACGCTGTGTTCGACACGTTTAAAGGGGTTCTAAAATTTGGTATATGTAACTAGGGCTAGTAGCCTGTTGTACAGTTAACTCATGTAGCTGCTTAACCCAGCTACTTCCTACGACTAATATGATTACTTCCATAAATGATTTAAATAAAGGAACAGGTCGACTTTATCCATTAAGCTCTAGATTCTGCCAGAGAAATTAATCTCTCAATTTGCACCCAAATTCAACGACTATAAGTAAAATAACGCTGACACAGTGCATAACTAACTAACTAACTCTTATTATTTTCCACTGATCAAAAACATTTCGGTTGGAAATTAAGATCTAACTAGACATCGTAGACAGAGGATATCAATATAGCCCTGTTCACTACTGGTGGAAATCAACACGTTGCTTCGATTCGTATGACTTACAAACCATATATATATATATATATATAAGATTATCAATTATATATAAGGTACCAATTTATATATATACCAATGGCAAAGATACAAATTATATAAGATACCAATGGCAAATATGTGCGTAGCGTCTTGAGGCCACTCAATCGCAAGCCAACCAATAGACAATGATGTAAGATATACAATATTTGTCCATATATAGCGATATATAACATAGGGGTATTTGTCCTTCACAACAAACATTTAACAGCGATCGCAAATAGGTACATTCACGTATGAAGAGGTTCTGAGAAAAGTCTTCAGTATAATTGACTTTTATATGATTGAAGCATATATTACCGTCGTAACGAGCTGCATACCTCTTGAAAAGCCTTTAAACTTTAAATAAATTTAGTGTACATATATATTAATCATACTATACAAAATTTAATTTCTCATCTTTAGACCAGCTACATCTACTGTCAAACAGACTACACCAAGGTACCTAAATGAAGTCACACTTTCTTATGGAAACTGGAAATGGATATATATTTCTACCGCCGTCTTTACACTTTTGTTAAGTCTATTGCACAGCATAAGTTCCACTGCACACCAATTCGTAACTAGTGTCTGGTCTTTGTCGCTTCACAATCATTATAGCTCGCTTTTATGGGATCGTTACCTTGTCAAAAAGTACACCTCACACCTCACTAGGCTGAACAATTATCTTTGCTAGGCTTCCTTCCGAAGATAAAGTACTTATAAGGTACCGTTTTCAGTGTTGAAGGATGCACTCAACCACCAAGCATGTCGTCAGAGATTTACGCTCGTATAGATTCAAGCGTTTTGGCATTTTTCCATATAAACAGTCCGCGTTTGGCGTCACTTGGTAAGTCGAAAAATGAGCAGACAAGGTCAGAATGAGGGTGGGCGAAGGGACCAACGAAACTTACCTGTTCGGCTTGGCGAATTACCTAGCCCCAATTTCGTCGTCGGCGGTGCGGAGCACAGAGGATTTCCTCTACTGCTGACGCCACTGAAGAAATTCCTTTGAATATTTCTGGCTTTAATAAGCTTTCTTGTATAATATGCGAAACCTATGCTTCATAAATTGTCGCTATCAAAACGGACAACGGCTGTGCCGAAAAATTATCATTCAAGAAACTAATTTTACTTAAATCAATAGTCACCAAATTATGAAGAAACATTCACATCGAAATATTCATCGGCACCGCAAGCTCTAGTTATTTAATCTGAAAAAGGCACCGCTTGTAAAATAAAGCCTTATTTCAATCTATGAGAAGCTGGATTAAGTAGTCGGTAGTTGATTTGATTATAAAACTTTGATGCATACGATTAGATATGCATCATTAAATGTCTGATAAGCGGAAGATCGTGCTATGTGAGTATACAATGAAGCTTATCTGTCGCATGTTTATTGAACAGAAAATAATGTTAGTAATATGAGGTCAATGCTATTATAAATCGTTCGCATTATATGTACGGCATCAGATTAAGTATACGTAAGGCCATCCGCTTCGACAATGCTCGATACGCCACTAACCCACCCTACAGTCAGTCGCTGCCGGCCGTGCCTTACTGGTTCTCTATTTGGACCAGGCAGGGGCCGCTAAGCAGGGAGACGTTACGTTCACAGTTTGTAGTCACGCCATAAAGCGGAGCTGAAGGTTGTCTTATCTAAAGGCTTCAAGCTCGTCGAGCCTTGGCCTACGTCCTTCAACTGCTCATCGCTGTTCTTTATGCATAACGCATACGTCCATAATCCGTTTACAACATTGGCAAAGTCAGAGTTTCAAAACGAGAATAGTGCAATATGTTTCATTAATACTTAATAATTGACCTTGTTGGTATGAGCAATACGCACACCGTACTTTAAGTGTCAGGCACTTCAAAATCTGTTTATCGATGCTTTTTTAGTGTCCCGACTGGTCTCCACAATAGATAAGTCAATAAGCCTTTAGTACTACTATGAAATAATATCAGCCAATTTTTTTTTTATTTATTATTATTTATAAAGACTTTGCGCTTTCTTAATTAACAAAATACAAGTCAACGCTAAAAAACATTGACGATAATGTTTGTATATTTTATTAGCTGTGTCAGCTCAGCTCGTTCATAGCTTTGCCTTATTGTTCGACTGCGAAATGT